CCTGTTTTTCTGGTTTTGCCTACTTTTCACATCTTGGGGATCGTTGATGCAGAACATTTCTGCATGACGTTACATTCAATGTTGCCTGTCTTAAAATTTTGCACACCAGGCTATGTCTTGAAGACTTAGAAAGATGTTAGTTTGGTACATTTATCTTTGCCATATTGGCAACACCAAGTTCTCTTCTCTGTGTGCGAGCTATGGATGCCGATGTAATGTTGTGCACGTGTTGTTAAGTTTCAATAAAAAATGTGAAAAGATAAGTTTCTTATTTTTCGACTTGCTTCTTCATGTGACATCGATTTATTTAACATGGTAGCAGTTCTCGTGGTTTGTGAATATGAATGAAGAATTTAGTAGTTATAATTTGTTTTAAAAGTTACCAGTATTAGCGTAAAATTGGCATGTACAAGAAGCAGCGATATCGGCATACCGCTATTTCATGGTTCAGACTATTTTAATTGGAAAACGCGTATGATGAAATTTCTTCAATTTAAAAGGTGTCAAGATGTGGTTCAGCAAAAAGTCAGTGAAAATGATGAACATGGAAAAATGGGAAGAAAAAAAGGATACATCCAAGCTACAAATTACATTTACGGCGCCATAACAAACAAGCAATTGGAATATTATTCACGAGTGTGAGACTGCATTTGATATAATTACGAAATTTGATGCAATGTATTTAAAAACTTCAACATCCTCTACAAATTGTTTGTTGAAATAACTTAGAATGTGTTAAACTGAAAAATTATCCTGATGTAAATATATTTTTTTCGATGATTTTGAGAAGTATGTGAACGAACTGAAACATGCCGGCGCCACCGTGACAGGAACAAGAAAAATTGAACTATGCTAAGAGCATTACCTTCAATTACAGTCACATTGGTGACTTAATAGATGTATTACCAGAGAAGGACAGAACAGTCGATTACCTAAAGAGCAAAATCAAATCAAAATTACTTGAAGAGAAAAATGATTGTGCACCAGCAGAAAAATCAAATGCGTTCAAAATTGAAACAAGCAAATTGGGTCCACAAGGGAATGTCTGTTATAATGTGGAAAACCTGGTCACATTAAAAAGAATTGTTGGGCATGTCCATCAAAGGAACTATCGTTGTAATGGCTCCACTAATTATCGCGGGGTCGAAGTTCTTCAAACAATCGAGGATGTAGTCGTGCTTTTTAGTGGACATCGTGAACGTGGAGCATACTCTAACCAGAGAATAAACACTCATCAAGGCAATAGTTTTCACACCACTGTTATCGAAAGTAACATGACAAGTTCCAGTGCAAATACTGTGACGAATAAAATGAAATCAATGGTTACTGGATAGCGGATGCACAGACCACATTATAAACAGTGATGTGAATATTTCAAAGAGCAAGTCACTTTGAAGGATCCTATTCAAGTGAAAGTCGGTGACGGAAGGATTTTGAAAGCTACAAAGGTTGGCAATATAATAGTTTCTTTTCCTGTATATAAACTCTGAATCTATCGTAACATTGAAGAATGTATTTTATGTAAAAGAAATGAAAGCAAATTTATTAAGTTATTCGAAGATTACTGATAATCATAAAATAGTTTCAAAAGAAAAGTTTTCTAAAATATTATGATGTCAATGGTTCATTAGTAGCAATAGCGAAGAAAGGAAGAAAGATTATATAAAGTAAAGAGTTATGTTAAAAATAGTAAAATATTTGCAAATTTGACCAACAGTAAAGTTAACGTTAAAAGAAAAATTGCACCGTTCAACTTTGGACATGTAAATTTTAAATATCTGGATATTATGTGCAAAGATCAGCTATTAGAAGGAATCCTATATAGAATAGAAATAGAAAACCGAAATATATGAAGTGTGCCATATGTATTGAAAATAAAATGCACAATTTACCATTCAAGAATAATAGAAGAAAAAGCAGAAGATATTCTGGAGATTATACATACAGATGTAAATGGACCTCCACAGAACAAGTGGATGTAATGGTGAAGAAATACTTTGTGAGTTTTATTGATGATTATAGCAAGGTTGGCAAAAATTTATTGTATCAAATCTAAGGATCAAGTCTCTGATTGCTTAATTGAATATGTAAATGAAATTCAAAATTTAACAGGGAAGACTATCAAAGAACTAAGATGTGATAATGGTAGTGAATATATGAATAGCAAGATATACAAATTTGCAAGAGGAAAAGGTTTCAAGATAAAGTCATGCCCACCATATGTACACGAATTAAATGGTACTGCTGAGCGTTACAACAGAACTATAATGGATATGGCAAGATGTCTTTTAGCCGAAGCAAAAGTTGACAGACGTTACTGGCCTGAAGTAATTAAAGCTGCTGCTTATTTGAAAAACAGGACATTAACAAATACTATGTAAGAAGACACCATATGAAATATTTTTCAATAGGAAACCATCTACTAATGAACTGAAATTATATGGAAAGTAGAGTGTGTAAGAATACCAGAAGAAAAGAGAAAGTCGAAGTGGAATAAAAAGCTGAATTTGGAATTTTACTTGGGTATACAGAAGTTGGATATAGAGTTTGATGAATAACAGAATAATAGTTGCCAGACATGTTGATATTATTGAAGAAGACATAATGTGTGTAGGTTGTGATGATGAAGATAAGAATGATGATACAAATAAAAGAAGAATGAACCTCAAGAAGTGTCGTGTGAATCGAGTAATGTTAACTCCAAGGACAGTGTGATAAATGAAGATGAAACAAAAAGCGGAATGAGACCAAGAAGGCAAATCAAACCACCAGTTCGAATTTGATGAAAGAATTCAGGTACTACTGTGTTAGTGCAAATTTTTGTGATGGTACAGTTCCAGGTAACTTTGAAGGAGGCGACCAACATGCAGTGAAGCTGGACATTGGAAAGAGGCAATGGACAGTGAAATGAACAGTCTTGTTAAAAATAACACTTGGACACTAGTGTGAATGTGAATACCTTCAAATTAATCTGTTGCTGGTTCTTTCATTAAATACAAATTTTAGCCCATCTTCCATGTCTGTTAAGTCTTTTCTCAAAAGAATTCTTCCGTTTTTTTAAGTAGACAAAAGTTTTCTCTGAGAAGTTCATAATTATCATATATTTAAGTTCAATCAGATTATTGAAAAATTTAAATTTGTAACTCATGAATGTAAGGAATACAAGTTTATAGCTTTTAGTTCAATATTTTGCTATTAAAGTGGTTCTATGAATTATATTTATTAATTAAAAATTAATATAAGTTATATTTATTAAAAACATTTTAAATAACAAAGATAATTTTTGTTTCTTTAAATTAAGTAGTTACTGAGATTTTGACTTTTCATCTTCGTAATATTAAACACAAGACAGGATCTTTTTTTTTTTTTTTTTTTTTTATTTTTTAAATTTTCCAGAATACAAGCTAAATAATAGTGCTGATAATATTTAAACAAGAAGAGGACATAACAAAATACATAACTAAATTATAGGAAGCACCATTAGAATTAATGTAAATATCATGATTCATAAAAGAACAGAATTAATCTATTTTCATTCTCCATGTATACTGTCCTTCTATTCTTGTTTGGGTTCATTAAAATACTTATCTCAGCAAAATGGAGCTGGGAGTAAATAAGTCGAGTTATTTTATGAAAAAGCTATTGACTAATTTGACTACTTTTCTTTGATTCATTCAAAAAAGCATTAAAAACTGTAATACAGTGCCAGAGAAAATGAAGTTATCTCACCAAGATAAATAAATAACAAATTGCTGTCAGTTGTTTTCATATTTAATTTTGCTTACAACCTAGCCAAAAATAGTTTAGAAATAGTCTAATTGTCATCAGTTGTTTCTTACACATTTTAATTTTGCTTAGAACCTAACCAAAAATAGTCTAGAAATAACAGGTATATTTTATTAAGGCCATCCTAATTTATATATAGCACAGCAATTTATAAATCATAATGCTCCTCATATTACAAGTCTGAGCAGATTATTATCTATTTTTGTTAAAATAAGTGTCCAAATTTTCAGCATTAAAAAAATCTATTCCAGGTCCTGTTTTAAAATATGAAAATTTCTCTCAAAATACTGAAGATGCATAATAAAGATAGAAAAATAATATATGTATCAAGAGTCATTCATTAATGATAATAAATAATTAAAGATAAAATTAATCTAATATCAATTAAATCATAATGGAAGAAACATTTCTGGATACTTCTTTATTTTTACAGGCCCAAATATTTAAACAGGATAAAGATTATCACTAGATTTTTTATTACATTATTGTTGTTAAGTTAATCAATGTTGTTTTGATTAATTTAATGTTGTTAATATTTGTACCTAACAAACATGCTTATTTTGCAGATGTTGAGTAGCTTCTTTCACCACTTACTAAATGTCAGCTTCTCTGCTCAACACTAAATAAATCACAAGGCTGTTACAAGTGATATTCTAAAACACTAAACCAGTTATCATAACATATGCTTTTCATGCTTGTAATTTTCATGCCTGCTGCACTTCCAAATGCTTTCATTGATATGCAGTTTCATTTTGTGGTCATTTTCATACATTCAAATGCAAGGTAAAAGGCAAAATGCCTCTTTTTTGGAAGAAAAATATAGTATTTTCCTCACTCCTTCGTAAACCAAAAACCGTTAACATTTTTTAGGGGGAAAATACATAATGCAACAGAAATACAGTGACTAAGAGCTCTTCTCATGACAAGCGAACTGCAAGTGACTATGGTTAAGACTGCTCACTATTTGGGGACAATTTGTGACAATTTCTGTTGAAAATTTATCTCAAGAATATAATAATAAGAAAATATTCATTTTTGTAACTTTTTTGAAAATATTTAAGCAGAACACGCATATTTTTGGTTATTACATTTTATTGCTGCTTTATTTTGTAAAGTTTTGCAATTATTTTGCTTTTTAATACATTCTTCTTTCCCAGAATGTTTTAACTGAAAACTTTTACTATTAGAAAAAATGAGAAAATAATAATAATAACCTCATCCTGAAGCACATGTTCAAGACGCTTCATACCTTCTGATTCACCCCCTGGATATAAACAAGGATAAAGAATTTCAGGATTTACTCTTAATTCTTCTAATGTTGGTACGGCATACTTCTCTTCATAATCACTATCTATAAGTGTACTTGCACCTTTTAAGAAAACACAAAGGGTAAAATTTGACATATATAAATAAAATATAACTTGAATTGACTGTATTATACAAAGTGCAAAGAACAAAGGAAGAAGATTGCATTATACATAAAATATTTTTAAATATATATATTTCACATAACTTTATAAAACAATTTCACAACTGTTATTTAAGGTTAAAACACTAGTAAAACCAACATAGGTTACAATTTTTTTTTTTTTTAATTTCTAATTTTTGATATGCAGTGAGCATTTCATTTCCACCTTTTTAGAGGTAACATTTACAATAATGCTTATTATATAACATAAAAAAAGATTTTTTGCTGAGTTGCAATAGTTCTCTAAATATCAGGTTTTAACAAAAATTTCCCACTGCCAGTAGGCTGGCAAGTTTTTGTGCAGACAACTGGTTTAGTCTGCACAAACAGTTTGCGTTGATGTGTTTAATCATATTTTGTCAAATAATTTTTGGCATTTCAAAAGAAAAGACTTGCTTTAGAACACTAAAAAATAGTGTTATCATTAAGTGCAAGGTGTCTGAAATGGAACTATCACACTACCATATTAGAACCAACATTTACTTCTAGTTCTGTTGCATAAAATCAGCTACAAAATGTCATCAAATCATGTACACAGCTTTAGGTACTAATGTTGTATCATATGGCACTGTGAAAGTTCAAAAGCAAGCCCACCTATGAGAACTTGTGAAAAGAGATCAGTATGCAACCACTCGAGAGCTTGCTAAGGAATTAGACGTTAGTATCATGTCCATTAGTTGCACTATGCATCGCATAAACACTTGACATACAAGATCAATAGCTGTGGGCTGCATCAGCTAAATCAAGCAGATAAGGATAGATGTGTTGAGGGCTGCACTGATATACTCAAATATAAACACAAGGGCAAATTTCTGGACCAATTGTCACTGATGATGGAAAGTGTGTTTACTTCAACAGCAGGCTGAAAACGGGGTTGGTCTGCGCCTGATGAGCCCGTTGGCAGCATCGCAAAATGCAATTTGACAAATGATAGGATCATACTTTGTACCTGGTGGGACTGTCATGGTATTATCAACATAGAGTATCTGGGAAAAGGTAAAATCCTTGACAGTAAGGTGAACAGCGAGATGTTAGTCCGTGTTGACGCTACTATCAAGAAAAAGTGTCGAACTGAGTTCCTGCAGAAAAAGGTAATGTTCCATCAAAATAATGCAAGACCACATGTGTCTGCATTCACCGGCTGGATTCTGAACAGGCTAGAATGAGATCTTTTGCTGCACATTACCATATAGCCCTGACATCGCTCCTTCGGACTTCTGCCTTTTTTCACACCTGCAATTATATCTTGCTGGTCAGGGTTTATACACATTTCTGCACTTGGAAATTAAGTACTTTTAAGGAGCATTAATGAAAAAAATTAAGAACCTATCAGCAAATAGCTGAATAAATTAAATTACTTTTGTGATACCATCTTCAGAATAAAATATATCCACAAGTAGAATGCATTATTATTAAACATAATTATAAAACAAATTTAAGAATAAAATCAACTTTATAAAATTTATCAGGTAGCATTAAATATTTTACCCTTATAATAGTTGGACAAATTTGAAAGAAGATTAGTGACATTTTATTTACGTTTTACTGACAGTTAGCTTTATGCTGATTTTTTTCTTTTATGTCTCATTTTTTCACATACTTTCTCAGTTTAGATGTTTTGTAAATAACTTCATTTAGAGTTAAAGGGGTTGTAACCCAGTTAATATATTTTAAGGTTCCAATATGCCACTAAAACACCAATAAGCCACTAAAGCACCAGAGGTGATAAGTTGTTATGTATTATTTTAAGTCTCAATAGATGCAAAGAATTCAGTTTTACATTACTTTTTACATTTTTGAGCTGTACCTTGTGACCACAGTAAAGATTAATGAAAGACAATAACTCACTTTTATATGCAGAGATAACTTTTAATGGTGGCCAGTTGGTTACAAATAATTAAATTAGCTAGTTAAACACCCTTAGTCATTATAGATTAACAAGGCCACTATTAAATTTTTTTTTTTAAATATTTGTTAAAAAAGCACTCTTAAAATCACAATTTATTAACATGTCACAGTTTAAAATTAATGTAATTTATGACACTGATTCTTAAATGATACTAAAATTAACACATTAGAAGCTACAAAATATTTACATTTTGTAACAACAATACTCAACAAAATATTTCTACATCTTTTTAATTTGAAGCTTTTCTAGACATTCTGGCTAATTTATATAAATTTCCTTCTCTTTAAGTCTCTTTTCTATCAATTAGAATTTTTTTTTTTCAGTACGCAAACCAATATTCCCACTAGTTTCTGCATGTTTGTTTTATCTATTAACTTGTCAATCTCTCGACTACGTACCTGTGAGGTGTTACTTGATCTGATAAAAGTTAAAAAGTCTCAAACCCCTGACAGACATGATACAAATTATTGCTATGTCTAAAAGTAACTACAAAGTCAGATAAAAGTTTAAATGAACCTCTTATTTAAAAAGACCTTAGAATATAAAGGTATGTTCTTAAGCTAGCAAATCAACTACATCTTATGGTGCTCCAATTAAATTGGAACAGTCAAATTCAAACTAAAATTGAGGACTAGTAGTCAAAGATTACACAATTTAATTTTAATATAATCTGGCTCAGTAATATGTCGTAACAAACTCGTAAATTAGTTATCACATAACAAATTCAAATATAGGCAGTGATACCACAAACACGAATTATTACAAATTACCAGAACTGGTGGGAACTAATGCAGCTTGCAAGAGGAGGACAGAAACAAATTCTGTCTTACAACCCCAATACCTTAGTTTAAAAACTAGTAAAGTGATTTTTATTCTGGGGAGGAAATGGAAAGGGAAAATTATAGCAAAGGCTGAAATTTTAAACAACTGCTTAATTTACACAATAATAAATGTATATATCCTTGAAGAAAAAATTTCTTTCTCTTTATGTATTCGGTTTGTTTCTTCAATACCTTTCCTCATCATTTTAGAATTTTTGGATTTAATTAAAGATTTCCGTTATTCTAAAAAACTAAATGCATTTAGAATGTATAGAAAAATGTGCTAATTTTATTTATTTAGTAATCTGAACATTCAGAATAAATATGAAATAATATATGCTAAAGGCCGGTTACAGAGCCAGTGTAGCAGAATTTTTAGAATTTAGTGACACACCGAGCAAAAAATCTACAAATGGCAAAATTTTAGAATTTAGTAAGGCAATAGGCAGCAGAATTTAGGATCCACAGAGATTGTATCAGGTGGGGAAATGCATAGCTCCAGCCCTGTGTGTGATGCACAAACCTGTAGCTATGGTTTTCAGTGCCCAGGGACAACTGAAGCTTTTGCGCCCCCTTCTGTATTCCAAGAATGAAAAACATTTTATCATTCATTTCATTACAGAAAAATTCCTTTCTATAAATGCCTCTCCATGTGATACGATTCATTTTTTATATTTTCCATGCTGTGTCTAGTGAGTAGAGAAAACAAAAGAAAGATAAACATGTTAAGAAAAAGATTTCTAATATCAGAAGTAAATCATTCAAATACTATGCTTTCATTGTTCTTCCAAAAATTCTCAAAGTCAAAATTCATCACAAACATAAAAATTCATTACGTGTAATATATTCATAATGTGTTAACACAAAGACATTTTTCTGGAATCTTCTAGATTTGGTGGTCTATAAATCTTGCCTTCAAATTCTTCTAAACTTTCCATAGTTGCAATGTCTAAAATCCTAAAGAAAAATTACCACTGCCAATTCTATAACAGCAAAAAGCCAAAAAATATGTTGGAAAAAAAATTTAAAAAGTGTGGAAAAAAGTGTAAAATAAATTTTATAGAGAAAACTGATGCATATCGAGACAATTATATAGGAAAAACGCTTACCATGAAAAAATTTAAACGAAGGCATTTTTAATTAATTACATAGCTATTTTGCTTTTGCTAAGAATTGTTTCCTAGATTGTGTTGAAGTGCAATTTAAGCATTTATTACCTTATTTATTTTTCAGATTCAAAACATTGTATAATAAGTTGCCAAAATGAAAAGTAATGTCACTTTATAATATGATAGCAAAAAATAAAACGTTTAATATTATTTCTTGAATACAATTTCAATATATTTGCATTATTTTAATGAAAATGATTGATGTTATAATGTTTTAAAAAAATACTGTTGAAAAATTCCCAGAATTCAGAATTAAAAATTTTCTACATAAACTGATCTTAAAATCATCAAGATGTTGATAAATCACCAAATTTGGAACCGTTTAATAAAGAATTCACATTCCCAAAAGCAAAAACTTGTTTAAGAGTTCATTAGAAAAAATGAAATAATTTCAAAATGCTTATGTTTCACTTCTTGCTCAGAAACTCGAGTATTCCATTGTTTGTTAGAAAGAGGTACAAATTATATTCCATGAACCTATTCACCCATTCAAAAGATTCAAAAGATATTTGCCAATGACTCGTCAAAAATATTTGTCCAGAATGCTAACTCACATTCAAAATGGCAGTCATAAAAAACAGACAGAAATTTCAGATGATTAAAATTAAGGACCCCCTGTTGAATTTGATCGAAATTAAGGATTTTTAAGGACCAAAAATTGATTCCAAAAAAACCTAAGGCCTTTTAAGGACTCTTAAGGACCGTACGAACCGTGTCAACCGGTAGTAGGAAGAATTAATGAAAAATGTACTACATTTTTCTTATAATTTAAATTTCATAATTTTTATTTTTTTCTGAGCTATAAATTTACTTTTTTAACTACTGCCAAAAAATTTTTTTTTAATTACTAAAATCTCTTCAGTAGTTATCGTAAGTAGTTTCAATAGTTTTTTATTTTTATTCCTTGTAACTCTTTAAAAAATAATTGTAAGACAGTTCTATTAACATAATCTTAAATCATACCTTATTTTGATCCCTTTTACAATTTATATTAGCAATTAAAAATTAAAGTGTTTTAACATTTGGGGGGCACACTGTATACAATAAATATACCTGCGAATGGAAAATCCTATCATAAGTAATCCCTCGTTTCGGGCTTTTACCAGAAGGCATTGTTAACTCCTAGGATTTACTGCAAAAGTTTGGTAAAAGCTCAAAATGGAATCATATTAAAGCATACTTCGGACTTTTACTAAGCCACTTAGGTAAAAGCTAGGTTTTACCTGACTTCAGGCTCTTACAGTAACATATATATATTCTCTGATGTTTCTACTTAAGCTTTTGCTTGAAAAACATCAGAAAATTACACAAATTCAGCATCACACATAGCGTAGGCAATGTACACATAAAATATTACACAGCTATTCATTGCAAAACTATTCATGACACGATATTAACAGGCTACCACATTTTGCGTTTTGATGCACATTTGACAACTTGCACTCAATAAGCAGAAGCACTAGATTTTGCAAATGTACATTTTTAAATAATAAATAAATTTCATTTTCTCAAATTATAAAAAATTACACAATTTATGTCTTCAAGTATCAACTAAAATACTATAACATCAATAGATAAAAGAGATTAAATTAATATTTATATTGCTATAAAAAGTAATTAAACAAAAACCTTTTGCAATTTTCAGTTCTTTAAGCATATCAAAAGAAGGAACTGGTTTTGCAGGTAATCCTATTTTTTCTACACTTTTCAGAAAAGACTGATATGTCAGAGGCACCTTACCATTATAATCAATGATTCTAAAAATAGAAAAATTTCTTATCTTTATATAAATACTTATATATAAAATAAATAATTATAAAAAATCAAGTCATCACTTAGTAAAACTTTCATAACTTAAAAAATTTCATAACTTTATCAGCATTACAAAAAGCAGATAGATAAACGATAGTGAAATTAAATATAGAAACTCAAAAAAATTATTTCTAGTAACAGAATAACCTGCTCACATAAAGTATAAATACAAATACATATTCAAATAGCTCAAAAATGGTAAGAAATAAGTACAGAGACATGTCTCCCAATACTGCAATCATGCAAGAAAATGCAAAATATAATAATGTCATAGATATCTTATGATATAAAGTAACGAAACAAGAACTTGGAAAATGATTCTTTATTACCAGTTTAATATCTAAACAAGATTTCTTTCTTAGATTACTTTAAGAGTACAAGGTTCTTTTTTTCGGGGGGGGGGGGTCTATCTATTATTTTTATTCCATTTGACAAATAGCTATGGTATCCCTGTATCTGTAAATACTGTATTAACTGTTGCATTGTCTATCATGTATTGTTTTAGATAGCAGTTTCAATCATAATTGAAACATGTTTCCAAAGAATATTTTTAGTGATGTCAAATTATAGCCTGTAACCTTTGTAAGATGGGACAAAATAAATATGCACTTATATTATAAAATAGTAAAATGATATTAAACACTATACATTTAATACTCACTGCTCCGGTGAATACAGCGTGTTAGTGTAGCCTTTTGTGACTATAACATTTAATTTTTCCATCATTTTATCAATGTCTTCATCTCTCTGTTTTGCATAAGGTTCAGTATCGTGCTCATATGTTAAAAGCTTTATATTCCATCTCTTTACTGCCTCAGGTAAAACGTCCATAGGATTGCCTCGAATAACAAACAATCTAAATTCAAACATTCATAAATCATATATAAAACTTCATACATCGAAACTACATAAACTATCATTAAATTCACCAGTTATTTAAAAAGAACTTAAATTAATATTTGAATGTCATTTAAATCATAAAAAATATATTTTAAACATAAATACATTATACAAAATATTATTTGAAAATTAAGATACTCATAAATTCATTTTGAAGATCTGATAATTCTATTCTATAATGTGGATGTAATAGCTTCTATCATATATTATCAACCATGGATTAGTAACATATTTAAATAGAAAATATCAGACTTGGAGATAAGGTTAGTTTTCTATATCAGCAAAGCATGCTAGAAAAGAAAACTCCAAAATATATTTTTATATCGTGTGACAACTAATTTATTTTAAAATTAGATTCTTTCCAAAATACAATTTTATATCATGTGACAACTAATTTAGTTTTAAGTTGTCTAGAGAATATGATATTTACCATAAGACAATACAAATTTTGGCATTCGCCTACGACATTGTTTTGGTGAGTAGATCCAGAAAGTATGTCACAAATTCATTCAATCTATTAGAAGCTGAGGCAAGAAAATTAGGCCTAACCATAAATGAAGATAAAACAAAATTTTAGAAGTTGCCCATAAATCAACTAATCTATCACCACTGACTATGAACGACTAAACTTTCGAAAATATGGCAATTCAAATATCTTGGAACTATTGTTACTAATAATAATGTTTTATCTATGGAAATTAATAGCAGGCTCCTCATGCAAGTAGATCAGGGTTCGTACACATTTCCTTACATGAAAATTAAGGACTTTTAAGGACTTTTAAGGACCATCAAAGAAAAAATTAAGGACCTATCAGCAAACAAAAAAACAAATAGAATAAAGCAACTATCCATACAACCGACTTTATGCTTGTAATTTCACTTTAAGAAACTAACAGAAGTGTGTATTTATGCACTATTATTAAATTTCATACTTATCAATACTTACCATAAAACAATTTTGAAAATTAAACTAACTCCCTACAAGTTATCAAGTAGATAACATTAAATTAGGAATATAAGATTTCTTTAAAAATATGCATAAGTGTATTTAGCACTAATAACAGTCATACGTATTTTAGAGATTTACATGATTACTATTTAACTTATTTTGATATTTATTTAAACACAGTCAACTACTATTATAAATCACAATGTAAGAATATTTTGCAGATTAAAATAACTGATTTGTAAAACATACAATTTATTTCCTTTGGTTTTTGAATGAAAGATACTAGAATAATAAACTGTACAATAAAAGATACAAACAATTTATGCTTTTTTTAAATCTGAAATATTTTCAGCTATTTTAACATCTAATTTCTTTATGTCTATTTCCTTTTCTTTAACTATTCTTCTAAGTTCATTTGCTTTGATAAACAAATCAATGTTCATGCTGGTCTCAGCTTCATCTGCTAAAGCATCTACTTCTTCATTAATATCTTTAATGTCCCTTTGAAGAAATTTTTTTATTCTGCTTCATATAATCAATTTCTTCCTCAATGATATTTCTTTTCCTCTTTGAATTTTCAGATTTAGTTAAAGATTTTTGTTCTTCTAAATACTGCATATATTTAGACCTTGCAGAAGCTGCTGCTGATATCATTTCTTTTTATTAATTTCGATATTAAGAACAACTCCAGAGATTTAAAAGAGTAGTGGCTTTTGATGCACTTAAAAGCCCACAATATTTCTGCATCTGTAACTTCAGATTTGAAAAGAAAAGAATTTATTTTATTATTTTCTACACTTATTGATGTTGAATTAGCAGTTACATCTTTTCCTGAAGTAGATGGTTCTTCTAACTTGACAAAATTCATGATACTGTTAGAAGAAACTCTGCAGTTGAGAAGGGAAAGATGTTTTGCAACTAAAAGGGGCATTACATGCAAGGCATTAGTAAAATTAAGTATCGCATATATATGATGGATGCACACTATTAAAATAATTCTACTTTAATTAAACTTAGGAGATAATATAATCAATTAATCAATACTGTTTAGAAAATAAATTATTATATAATAAGAAATGTATACTGAAAAGATACATTTTTTACTATATATATATACAGTACATATATATATACAGTTAAAAGTCGTTAATTTGGACACCCATAATGCGGAATGATCTATAATCCGGACCTCAAAGCTAAAACCTTTCTGCGCATGCGCCGCGTTGACACATGCGCATAGGCGTTTACGCGTGCGAGTAGACCTCTTACGACTGCGCATTTGCGTGTGCGCAAGCGCAGAATACGCTTTCGCGTGCGCGTTTTATGTATAACGAACGGTATAAGCTAAAATTATCTAATTATCTATTTCAGTTAATGTTGATGATTGCGTTGTTCCTTAATTTTCGAATTGGATCCGGCTTATTATTTTTTGCAGACTGCAAGAGCAATACTATAAAAGTAAACTTGAACTTTCTATTATGTCAAATAGAATTTCCGAATCTGGAGCTCCCAAAGGATCGTACAAAACGAAAGTATATTTCGATGTCCATGAAACAAAAAGTGGAATTGCTGCAAAAAATGGATAAAGACATGAAGAATGTGACAGAGAGGTTAGTGAAAACGAAAAAATTTCGATTGACAAGTTAGTCGGTATTCTCGGCACAGCAATTAACGGGACTTGAACAGCGGAACTTTGTAACTGAAAAAAAAATTATGTCTGTTTATAGAATTAAAGAGAAAGTGGTACTTTTCCGTTTTGCCGGCGCAAGCGATAAAGTCGCCAATAATGGTACAACCGATGCCAAACGGAATATTCTCGCTGGTAACCTTTTACGCCTCATTTTCAAAACAAGTCGCAGCTTTTTCTATCAGATTGATTGTTTCTTTCAATGCTGGCATATTTACACAGAATTTTATCAGATAGTTCAGTTTTATGTCTAAGGCCATTTCGGAGTTTAAGTCAATTAGGATGCAATTACAGCGCTTACCCGAGGCCGAAATATAGAAAAGGAAAGTCAAGGGTTAAATTCATCAATTCTAATGAGAATGCATTAGTGAAGCACTGCAGTTTACATTAATTTCTGAGTAAGCTATCGTACGCACTGAAATATTTCTTGCATTTAAACTTGTGTTCCAAATTAAGATTTAACTTGAAATTAAGGTAGATAATTACTGAGAGCAGTTAGATATTTTTGTAGCGTAGTTGACGTGTGATGAAATCACTTTGGGTCATGTGATATGAACCGGCGAATTAGGGTGTTGAACCATGAAAGCATAGTAAATTCATAAATTAATGTCATTTTTACAAATTTATTGTTTTATTTATTGGCACTTTTATAAAGTTTTTAAACGATATTAAAATGTTTATGCCTTTAAAATAAAGAAAATTCTGAGAACTTAAAATTTTTTAAATATTTTTATGTGTATACTGTATGTTGTCACCAACAAAGTCTGCTTGGCGAGATTTGCGCCGGCGAAACGGAAAAGTACCGAGAAAGTATTATCACATAAAACGAAGCAACTTAAACAACTTACACTGAAAGAAATGTTTAATAAAGTAAACAAATAAATATTAAGCCTTTTTTTTTTTTTTTTTTTTTTTTTTTTTTTGTAAATTTTGATATCCTTTAGATCATAATTGTTCTTTATTTCATAAATTACGGTTTCATATTTTTAATTTTAGAATTTCTGCATGCCATCTTACGCGATTTAAACTGATGATCTATAATCCGGAAAAATCAAAAATCCGGAATCGCCGAAGTCCCGACGAGTCCGGACTAACGACTTTTGACTGTAGTACATATATATATATATGTATATATACAGTACAGATTCCGAGATCCGGACATCAAATATCTGGAATGATCTAAAATCCGGACCTCAAAGCCACCACCAACCAATTTTTAGGGCTTTTTTGGAGGAAGGGGTATGCTTTACGCATGCGCATTACATTTTTTTCCTCATCATAAAAAACATGCCGGAAATCCCGATTCTTAATCTCAGTTTGGCGCTCAAATAAAATATTTCATTATTGAAGAAATAATTATTTTAGCATAAATTTGTGTGATTAGTTTAGTAACTTGACTCCATAGCTGCGTATCTGCTTGGCATAATCTCAAACCGAAACATTTGTTAATTTTACAGCAACTAATATTTTATATCCTTGATGCCGAAATCGCGAATTATTATTTATTGTATTTTGCTTTCATCACCGCAGGATGACAATTTGAGTGATGACTCATGCAGGGACGCCAAATAAAAGAGTATTATCCGATTACAGATTTAAGTTTAATGCGCTAAAATGTTGACTAGGGGAGATTTAACAGAAATTTCTTTCCTTATGCTGAAAATAGATTTTGTTAATGATAACTCATAGAACAAACGATTATATTTAGTGCTATTTGAATTAAGAATAACTGATTTGTTATTCACATAAAGCCAGAACCAGCGCCAGAGCTCGCATGGCCGCACCAGGCGGCAGAATTTAGGGAAGTTAAACAGAATTTTTTTATTGCGATGACAATGCCCCAATCATCAATCAATTAACGGAGGGCGAAATCTGTAGTATGGTTCTAAATCCAGAAAATACAGCTACCCATAGTGAAGAAAGTAACAGAGAGGTTACTGAACGAGAAAAAATTTTAATTGACAAGTTATTCGGAATTCTCGACACAGCAATTACAGGACTTGAACAATGGAACTTAATAACTCAACAAGAAATTATATGTCTATAGTATTAGTCTAAAGTATCAGCAGAGAAAACAAATCAAACAACTCACATTGAAAGAAATGTTTAATAAAGAGTAAACATATAATATTAAGCTCTTTTCTTTTGTAAATTTTGATACCCTTTAAATCATAAATGCTTCATTATTTCATAAATCCCGATTTCATATTTTCAATTTTATAATTTCTACGTGCCATCTTAGTAGATTTAAAATGATCTAATATCCGGAAAAATCTCAAATCTGGTATCGCCGAAGTCCCGACCTCGGACTTTGTACTGTATAAATATATATATATACGGAATGTATATTTTCAGTTAAACTTCTACCCAACAACTTTTTAGTAATTCATGAAAGTTAATTTTGCGTCTAGTTAATTCAGGAAAATTAGTTTCAATTAGTTGTTTTCAGCTTTAAAAATATTAAAAATTTTTAATTAGTTAGTTTTTTCAACTAATAATTGCATCACTCACCATTAGCAAAAATAATGCATCACTATCAACAACAGCTTTTTTTTGGGGGGGAGGGGGGTTGGATCGCTAAAACTTGGTGAATGTTATCTCTTAAGAATGCAATATTAAAATTTAATAACATTCTTCTGAAAGCAGCATTCCTTTTATAAAATACTTAATTGTCTATTGAAGCTTCAAAACGTATTTCCGAAACTTCACTTTTTCTCGGCTATCGTTACCGAAATTTGCCCTTGGCGACCTAAAATCGAAATGGAGCCAACAGATTTCCCGCGAAATCGATAAAACAGACCTCTGCAGAAATAAACTCATAACCCCGATATCCCATACATATAGTATGTGAAAAGAGAATAAACTCCGTAGAAAGTGATAAAAAATTAATTTATGGCTTAATTGAAACAAACACAGAAATTAAGCTAAGCAAAACCGTGTAAAAACAAATGAAATGATAAAACGAAACTTAATTTTCATGTAGGAATTTTCAGCTCTGACTCTCCCATTCTAGAAATTTCAATTTGTTTCAGACAAAGACCGCATTTAGCTTTATAAAGGATTTGTCATCCATCAATATCCAGTCTTTGTAGTCAGCTTGATGAAGGCCACAGCTTATTGAAAATGCACTTTCCAGGCATTCTCGTTCCTATTGGCGTCGGAAGGGTTCTGGCCTTCCAGGTTGGGATTGCTCTAATTTTGGCAAATATTTTCAGAATCCCCCCCCTTTTTTTTCTCTCGAGCACCTTCATCATCACTTTCGCCTCTTAAAGAACTTCCGGCTTCCCGCTTTCGTCACAATCTGCCTAAATTTCTAAATTTATGGATAACACCTGTTTCGAAAGATTGAGTGAATAGCCAATCAGACACCGATACTTTCGTTCGAGTAGCTGTTTATTTTTTTTTTTTTTTTTTTTTTTAATCGTTTGCAACGCAAATTCGCCAACAGATTGGTTAAGAGCCGTGCAATTCCATATTCATGAGAAATCGCAATTCACACATAGAATGGCAATCATTAGAAATGATAAGAAATGTCAAATGAGCAAAATTAAGGACCGTTTATTCATTTTGACCAAAATTAAGGACTTTTAAGGACCAAAAATCATTTTTGAAAAAATTAAGGACTTTTAAGGACCGTACGAACCCTGGTAGATGCTACCATAGTCTTAAAAATCAGTTCAAATCTTAATTTATCTGCCATAATACTAAACTTAATATATATAAAATCCTGTTACATCTCATCATACTATATGGCTGCAAGTGCTGGGCAATGACTAAAATAACTGAAAGTAAATTATTGATCTCTGAATGTAAAATACTAAGAAAAATATTTGGCACTGTTTGTGAAATTGGTGTTTGGAGATCAATGTATAATCATGGAATTTCCAAAAACTTAGACAGCCTGATATTGCCAAGGTCATAAAAAACCACAGGATTTGATGGTTGGGTCATTTATACAGAACTGAAGACACAAACCCAGTAAAACAGCTCACATTTACCAAACCTATGTGAGCTAGAAAGCAAGGAAGGCCACCAATTAGGTGACTTGATGCTGTTGAGAATGGCATTAATACCATACATAAGGGAGACTGGAGGAGTATTGCTATGAATAGTTCCAGATGGCGTAGACTGACTGAGACAACCTTGGCCAGCAATAGGCTGTAGTGTCTCAAGAAGAGAATATGATATTCTACACACTGCGGTAGGCCAACTCATCAACTGCAAGCTACTGGTTGATTGCTGCATGCTTTTGAGTTGATCTTGAGCAGTCTTGTTATTTTATACATTTCCCATATAGCAGCAGCTTTCAATGTGGTTAATACAATAATAATAATAATAAATAACTCAAAGGTAATGAACTAATTAGAAATTCCTATTCTATCTGATACCTTTTTCTACCTCTGGAAATATGCATATGCATATACACAAATAAATCAATTCATATATGAAGAAAATTGTTCTTTAAATGATATAAACCAGTGGTCCTAAATTGGTAGCCCCAGAAGCTATTTTATGCAGCCATGCCTATGAATACAGTTTAATTATGTATTTGTTGTTAATGCTGTGCTTATAGAAATGTTACATCCCAGGAAATGACAATTAAAAATATAAACACTGTAGACAAAGATATAGACTGCAAATTGCTTGTCATTATTTATTCTCAAATTTTGTTACACTCAGAAAGTTTTCATGAATCATTTATTTTCAGTTTATATCAAATATAAGTGATTAATTCAAGATATTAGAATTATTTGAAATAAATGGCAGTCTGAGATTTAATATTTAGCTCTTAGGATGTTTGAATTACAAAATGCAACCAACAGAAATTTCTTACAAGTATTTTTTTGCAGACAGAAAATAAAATATTATAAATTTTAATCTTTCCCTTTGCATTATTATTACTGCTATTTATATATGTTTTAATAAATATTTAATAAGTCTGTAGAGTGTTCAGACTTATTAAATTTATTATTATAAATTAAATATTATTAAACTCATTTATTTTTATTGACCAGTTTTATGTTAATTAGCTTTTCTGCCTTTCTTGCTTTCCATTTTCCTACCAGAAGACTAATTCCTAGTTCATGCATATTCAAGTGAGATAGTATTTTAAAGGAAGGTTTTAGATGGTAGAATTAGAATCAACCTCCTGAAGGCCACATTGCTATTTGATTCTCTTGAGAACAGTTTATCTGTGGTGTTGCATTATTCTTGCATTACGCTTGTCACGATAATATTAGGTAAGGGCCAACTTGTATGTCTTTGCCTATGTAGCCTTTGGGCTAACAAAAAGTTAAGTTCAAATCATTACATTTTAGTTTATGTCATAAATACTGACTGATTCTGTAAGCATGAGCAATATCTTCTGTTAACTTTATGTTAAATAAAAGGGTCCTTTTCACCTTTTCCACCTTTACGTCTGTTCTAATATCCAAGATATAGGGATAAGTCGCTTCCGACTTTGTAGGATTTTCATAGTTTATGTTACTAGAGAGATTGAGACTCTACAAGTTTGATGTTAAGTTAAAATTCCAGGTCAAGTATTCGACCCACATGAATTTTGAGCTTGAGACCACTGATATGAATGAAAAAGAAAATGAGAAATGTTTAATGCACAAATTTTTTTTAAAAAAGGGGGGGACTATGTTATAATGTCATAAAATTTCTTTTTTCTCCTAGTTCTATAATTTTATTCTACCTCCTTTTATTTTGATATTTGAAAGTCTATTTTTTTACTGTATTTCTTACACATGCAATGCATTAAAATTTCCAGTTAAAAAATTCAAATTTATGTAAGAACAATTAAAGAATTTCATTAAATGCACATTAATAGCAAACAGTTTGAATATGAACACAAGCAAATGATATTTCAAGCTATGAATATATAATTCGTAATTATTTATCTTATTAATTAAAACAATTATAACAAGTAAATAAATTCACTTTCTATAACTAAAGATTCCAGAATACATACTTGCCTTGAATTAAATTCTTGTAAACTGGCATCAAGATCTGCTAAAGACTGCATCAAAAATCTCCATCTGTTAGGACCTACTCTCATATTTTTCACAAACCATGGGTCCAAAATAAAAATTGGCCAAAAATAATTGCCATTCTTCACTGCTTCAACTAAAGCCGGATTATCATGTAGCCTCAAACACTTGCGAAACCAATGTATGCTATTGCCTTGAATCTTCTGAGTAGTATTCATGATTGCAGTTATTGGGAATTTATCTATAAAATTATATCAGATTTTGAATAGGTATTAATTATACTATAATTCAATTTATTTGTAAAACAACATATGATAAATCCATTTAAAAAGAATCTTTTTCAAATTCGTTACTAAATAAGTTTAAAATGTTTATTTTATGAACAGATTTTAGAACAATATAGGCAAATAAGAATCGTACATTTTTATTATTCTAGAGATATGTAATGTTTTGTTCGTGATTTCTTTCCCACTGTAACTAGTTATTAAGGGTTGGCTAAAATTTTCTATTAATGGTGTTTACTTCATTCTCCAGCATATACTATATACAATTTTTAGTTATATAAAATTTGTAACATTTTTAATTCCTAATTTTAGTTATATAAAATTTGTAACATTTTTAATTCCTAATGTGCAATAAATGCTCTTTTGAAAGTTAATTTTTAGTTATAATTTTTTATTCTCTCTTTTATTTACATATTGGTTTAAAATCTACCTATTAAAACTATAAGGTATTTCTTGCTCCTTCTTGGCATGCCTTCGTAGTGTGGTGGTCTGCACGCTGGAAGGGTATTCCATATACGTATACACGGTTCGATTCCTGGTGAAGGCATTTGCTCATTTTTCATCTTGCCTGCTTAAAAAAAAAAATACCTAATATCTCTACAGTGGCACCCGAACTAAAAGGGTGTTAGATGATGATTCTCCACACCCAGGATTTGGCGATTGGATTCCCTAAAAATCCCAGTCGCCCTTTAAAAGTTGAAGTATATAAGGTATTTCTCCCACTTTCTTGGCATGCCTTCATCGTATGGTGGTCTGCACGCTGGGTGTATGTTCCATAGGTCCGTGGTTCGATTCCCGGTGAAGGCGTTGCTAATTTTTTACCTTTCATGCTTCAAATTAACCTAATGTCGTTACAAAACTATTCTTTAGAGAAATCATATTCATAATATGCCTTGCTTTGGCTTCTATGGCAAACACAGGTCAAAGTAAAGTGTACCAGAAATTGAAGCTCAACTTATATGTATTCACAGAAAAACTTTTTCTTACTCTTTTAATATTTTATAACTACCATTATGTTTAAAATAGTATGTCCTAAAGATTTTTTACCTTTCCCTTTCAGGACACCTTTTTATTGATACAGTCAAAAGTCGTTAATTTGGACACCCATAATCCGGACCTCAAAGCTAAAATCTTTCTGCGCATGCGCCACGTTGACGCATGCTCATAGGCGTTTTACGCGTGCGCACAAGACATTTACGACTGCGCATATGCATCTGCGCAAGCGCAGAATACGTTTTCGTGTGCGCGTTTAATGTACAGTCAAAAGTCGTTAATTCGGACACCCATAATCCGCAATGATCTATAATCTGGACCTCAAAGCTACAACCTTTCTGCGCATGCATCGCGTTGACGCATGCGCGTAAGACCTTTACCACTACGAATTTGCGTGTGCGCGTGCGCAAAATACGTTTACGAATGCGCGTTTAATGTATAACGGACGGGATAAGCTAAGCTAAAATTATCTAATTATCTATTTCAGTTAATGTTGCAGATTGCGTTGTTCCTTAATCTTCGAATTGGATCTGGATTATTATTTTTTACAGACTGTTAGAGCAATTTTATGAAAGTAAGCTTGAACTTTCGATTATGTCAAATAGAATTTTTCAATATATATTTACTAATATGTAAAGGATATACAAAGCGAAAGTATCTTTCGGAGTCCATTAAACAAAAAGTGGAATTGCTGCAAAAAAATGGATAAAGGCATATCCTTTGTTTATCTAAACTTTAACGCTTGTTTATCTTTAACGCCGCGGCGGCATGCAATGAATTGGAAGTTGATCTGTCAGCATTATCCTTATCCTAAGGGCAGATGTTTTTATTTTATTTGGCTTATAATTGCTTACTCAATGTAGTATTTCATCTCGATGTACTCCGTCTTTGATATGATTTAAATCAAATGCCTCATCATTATAATTCGCTTCCGATAGCGATGAAAGTGACAGAGGTTATCGAAAACGAAAAAATTTCGATTGACAAATTAGTTGGTATTCTCGACACAGCAATTAAAAGGACTTGAACAGCGGAACTTTGTAACTGTACAAGAAATTATGTTTGTTTATAGAATTAAAGAGATTGTATTATCACATAAAAAACGAAGCAACTTAAACAACTTAGATTGAAAGAAATGTTTAATAAAGTAAACAAATAAATATTAAGCCTTTTTTTTTTTTTTTTTTTTTGTGAATTTTGATACCCTTTAGATCATAATTGTTCTTTATTTCGTAAATTACGGTTTCATATTTTTAATTTTATAATTTCTGCATGCCATTTTACCATATTTAAACTGATGATCTATAATCCGGAAAAATCGATAATCCGGAATCGCAGAAGTCCTGACGAGTCCGGATTAACGACTTTTGACTGTATAACGGACGGTATAAGCTAAAATTATCTAATTATCTATTTCAGTTAATGTTGATGATTGCGTTGTTCCTTAATCTTCGAATTGGATCCAGCTTATTATTTTTTGCAGACTGTAAGAGCATTTTTATAAAAGTAAGCTTGAACTTTCGATTATGTCAAATAGAATTTCTGATGCTGGAGCTCCCAAAGGATCTAGAAAACGAAAGTATGTTTTGATGTCCATCAAACAAAAAACGAATTGCTACAAAAAATGGATAAAGGCATATCCTTGTTTATCTAACCGTTTCCGAAATCTGTTTCAATTTCACGCTGCTCTGCGCGGGGGGGGGGGGCGTCGCGGCGCAAATGAACTGGAAGTTGATTTGTCAGCACTATCCTCATCTTCAGGGCAGATGTTTTTACTTTATTCGGCTTTATAATTCTTTACTAAATGTAGTATTTCATCTTCAATGTACTCCGTCTTTGATACGATTTAATTCAAATTCCTCGTCATTTATAAATATAACAAATACACATCAAATAGTTTTCTGGTTGCAATTTTCTAATTTCGGCTATGTAATGTAGGTACGCATGCGCGCGTTGAAAGAAATGTTTAATAAAGTAAATAAATAATATTAAGCTTCTTTTTTTGTAAATTTTGATACCCTTTAGATCATAATTGCTCATTATTTTATAAATTACGGTTTTATATTTTTAATTTTAGAATTTCTGCATGCCATCTTACCAGATTTAAACTGATGATCTATAATCCGGAAAAATCAATAATCCGGAATCGCCGAAGTCCCGACGAGTCCGGATTAAAGACTTTTGACTATACTCATTTTTCCATTCTTTAGGAATTTCTTTTCTTTAACAACATCTATTTTGCATCTAAACTTTTTAAACTTAAAAAAGTGTTCTCATTTCAGAAATTCTTAGCACACTTCACAGTCTGCAGATTCATTAAATATATAAATAAAGTGCTTGAAAATAGGATCCTTTAAGCTGAGAAATGAAATACTTATCACACCCACTTGACTCGAATTCAGTTGGCATACATTCAATCAACTTGAACCATGGCATACATTCAATCAACTAGCTGATGCTCCTAATTTTGATATTAAATATCAAATGTTTAACCACTTGCGCTATGACTAAACTTCACAGTTGCGGTGCCATGCGCTACAATATAACAAGCGGTAAAGTGTCTAATTACGACGCTCCACGTCTGTGAGTGCAATCCAGATGTAACTCAAGAAATAAACAATTTCATTGTTAGGCGAAGTGTTCACAGCGTTATTTTCATTTTTGCGATAAATGCCTATCGATGTGGTGTTCACATCGCTCGCTGTTTGAGACATTTTTAGCACAAGTGGTTAAAAGAAACTTAGCGAAGTTCATGGGAAGATGGTAATATGTGTTACGAAATATTATCTGGAATTCTTAAGTGCTTGAGAATATTCTAGAGACAGTGGCAGATTGGCCAAAGAAATCATCCCTGGCAGGATAAAAAATATGCCGGCTCTAAGACTCCATATGAAATGTCATATAAGTTATCATTCTCATCATCATGAAAAATAATTTTATAAAATAAAAATATACTTTTGCAGAAAAGTAACACTTTAATCCATACTAGTAAGTTATATTTTGAAAGATGTTTTGAAGTAACTTGAAAGTAAAACGTTAAAAATGTTTAAAAACAAAATAGGCGATTGATTCATAACTAGCCATTTAAATATTTTTTAGTTTCAGGCACTTGAGCAAATATTTCCTCCATTATAAGTTAAATTTTTTCTTTAGCCAAAATATCCTTCCTCATGTTCGTGAATAGCAATGACTCCAAATTAGCTTGCTCATAGTACTCCTTAATCCAATTTTTAAATTTGAAAAAGTTCTTTCGCATTCAACTTGTAGTACATATAAGGTGAGTACAAACTCGCAAAAAGAAAAAAAAAAAAAAAGACATTGACATATGTGTTTCTATATAAATTATATTTCAAGAGTAATTTATATACACACAAGATGCAATTTTTAAAAATCTAAAGCTAAAATTCATTTTTTTTTAATTGCATCTTAGCTTTAGATCATCATTTAGCTTTGGATGAATATTCATTAATAGATAAAGCACTATTTCCTTCTGACTTGGTATCAGATTCAAAATAATGACTTTTAATTGAATTTTCTAGTATTTCCCATTTACTTACTAGGTCCTGATATTCATCCTCAAGCTTATCAACTGTTACACCAGCATAATGCCCTAATAATATAGATAAACAGTCAAAAATGTTCAGCGACAGTCACAATAAAATTCACTCGAGAATCTTTTTTAATTACAGTTATAATGCAGTATTTTCAATTTCACAATTAAATTAGAATGTGACTGTACTGTATTTTATAAATCTACTTTACGACTGTCGACCACTATTGACTATAAGCTCTACTCTACCTCTACCCTACAGCCTATAGCTACCGTATCTCATGCGAGTTTGAGTGCGATATGCAGTCCGAGCATCCACGTCTCTCTCATGCACAGAGCTATCTCGCAAGCCATCTGTCTCAATTCGATCATTCGAGTTTCTTGATCGGCCCAAAATCATTCCGGCCCATCGGG